TGGGGCCACGAGGCCGGGGTGGGCAGCATCCAGAAGGCCGTGGGGTGGGGGTGACATGGAGGCGTGGGAGGGACCCAGGGGCCACCAAGGTCACCCTGAGGGGACTTGGGGGACCCTGGGGTGTCACCACGCCCCCTGGGGGGGGCGGGAGGTGGGCGGGGCCTGGGGGCAGGGAGGGGAACTGAGGTCACCAGCATCTGCCCTGGTTTTGGGGTCCCCTTGGCTCCGTCCCCTTTTAGGGATCCTATTGGCTCCGCCCCTTTTGGGGTCCCCTTAGCTCCACCCCTTTTTGGGTCCTCTCAACTCCACCCCTCTTTTGGGGTTGCCCCTTAACTCCGCCCCCTTTTAGGGGTCCCATTAACTCCACCCCCTTTTGGGGTCCCCATGACTCCTCCCCCTCCTGAACATGTGGGGAGTATGGCCCCGCCCACCCCTCAGCCAGGCCCCGCCCCCTCGTTATGGGATTAAAGGGGGAAACTGAGGCACGGTGGGAAGGTGGGAGGGGCCTCGAGGAGCAGGATCCGCTCCTCTCAGTCCAGAGCCGCAAAGGATTGTGGCACTGGGAGGCACTGGGATGAACTGGGAGGCACTGGGAAGAACAGGAAGGGCATTGGGAGGCACTGGGAAAGGCCCTGGGGTGAACTGGGAGGCACTGGGAAGGACTCTATGGGCACCGGTAGGCACTGGGATGGACTGGGAGGCACGGGGAAGGACTCGAAGGGCATTGGGAGGCACCTGGAAGGGCCCTGGGTGAACTGGGAGGCACTGGGAAGGATTCGAAGGGCACTGGTAGGCACTGGGAAGGGCCCTGGGTGAACTGGGAGGCACTGGGTGAACTGGGAAGGGCATTGGGAGGCACTGGGAGGTCTTAGAGGAGCTCGGGGGGGGTGCACTGGGATGCACTGAGGTGTACTGGGATATACTGGGAGGCCCCAGGGGAGCAGGACATTGCCCCAGGGACACTGAGACTCAAACTGGGACACACTGGGAGGCCCTGGCGAGGCACTGAGAGGCACTGGGACACCTCGGAAGTCACTGGGAGGCACTGGGAAGGCACTGGGAGGCACTGGGACGCCTCGG